AGACAAGGACACCATTTAAAAAAAAAAGGAAACTAGAGACCATTATCCCTGATGAAAATACAAAAATCTTGTACAAAATTTAGCAAACAGTATTCAACAATACATTAAAAGATCATACATTGTGACCCTAGGGATACAGGATGGTTCGACATAGACAAATCAGTGTAATTCACCACATCAGTGAAAGGAAATATAAAAATCATATGATTATATTTATAGATGCAGAGAAAGTACTTGAAAAGTTCCAATTTCTCTTTGTGATACTACCTGCCAATGGCATTATAAGAACATCTTAAGTTGATAAAGGTCATATATGACACACCCACAGCTAACATTACACCTGGTGAAAAACTAAAAGCTTTTCTTCTAAGATTAGGAACAAGACAAGGATAACCACTCTCACCACTATTATTAAACATAATAACGTAAGTCTTAGAACAATTAGTCAAGAAAAAGAAAAATGATATTTAAGTTGGGAAAGAAGTAAAACAACTGCTATTTACAGGTAAGATGATCATACACAAAAAACTTCGAAGACTGCACTAAAAAGCTACTAAAATAAGTAAATCACTAAAGTTGTAGGCTACAAAATATACAAAATTCTGTTGTATTTCTATATGCAAACACAGAAGAAAATTGTTTAGATAACCAATTTACAGTCACCTCAAAATGAATTAAATAGGAATAAAATTAACAAAGGAGGTAAAAACTATAAGACACTATTAAAAGAAATACAAGACAGGGCCTCCCCACGTGGCACAGGGGTTGAGAGCTGGCCTGTGAAGCTGCCCGCAGCCTCTGCAGTGCTGGTTGGATCTCCAGCCGCCGGGGAGGGTCCCACATGGTGCGACAGACCTCTCCTGCCACGCCCGCTGCGCCCCTCAGCAGTGTATTTCGTCAGTCTGCCTGTTCTGTTCCCTGCTCTGGCTCTGGTGAAGTCTCTCACCCTCCTGTGCTTCTGACTGTACCCAGTGCTTGTATAATAAATAAAAAAGAAATACAAGACATACAGAGAAATAGAAATATATTCTGTGCTCATTGATTGGGAGAATTAACATGGTTAAAGTGGCCATCATACTTAAAGCTATATGAAGATTGAATGCATTCCTTATCAAAATTCCAATGGCATTATTCAAGGAAATAGAACAAACAATACTAAAATTTGAATGGAACCCTAGAAGTCCCCAATTAGAGAGAGCAACCCTGAGACAAAAGAAACACTATACTACCAAATGATAGCACCTCAAACACTCTATTTTTGGAATTAAAATAAACACACAGACCAATGGAAAAGAATTGAGAGCCTAGAAATAAACCCACACCTATATGGACTTAATTTACAATGAAGGAACCAAGAACATACAGTGGAGAAAGGAAAATGTCTTCAACAAATGGCGTTAGGAAAACTGGACAGCCACATACCAAAGAGTGAAACTAGACTGCTATTTTACATCCTGCACAAAAATTAATTCAAAATGGATTAAAGACTTGGATATGAGCCAATACTTAACTTGCACATCATACATCAACAAGGGGTTAGTATCCAAAATATACAAAGAACTCATAAAACTCAGCAATAACAAACAACCTAGTCTTAAAAATGGACAGAAGGTCTGTATAGTCGTCTCCAAAGACGATGCTCAGATGACCACTAAGAACATAAGATGTTCATCATTTCTTATTATTAGGAAAATGCAAATTGAAAAAACATTGAGACATCACCTCATAGCTGGCAGAATGGTTCTTATACCAGAGGATGTGAACGGATGGGAACACTTATATATTGTTGGTGGGAATGTCAATTGCTGCAGCCAATGTGGAAGGTATGGAGAGGCAGAGAAATTCCTTAAGATCTAGTTATCCTATTTCTGGGTATTTACCTGAAAAAATACAAAGTCCACTAATTCTAAGAGATAGATGCACCACTGTGTTCACCACAGCATTATTTATGATAGCAAAGATTTGGAAACAACCTCTGTCCCCCCGATGGATGACTAGAAAAAGAAGATGTGGACTATTAACACAATGAAATACTAGCTCCATAAAAAAATATACAATCTTAACCTGTTGTGGCAATATGGGTAGAATGAAGAGATTATGCCTAGCAAAAAAAAAAGTCAGAAATGAAAGACAAATATATGATCTCACCCCAATGTGAGGTAAAAAGAAAAAAAAAAAATCTAACTCTTGCATTCTGACAATAGAACTGAGGTTACCAGAGGGGAAGGGGATGTGAACAGATGTTGGAGAGGGTTGGATGGAATGTGGTGGCGGGTTATCAGGACTTTGGTGGTGGATGTGCTGGGCTATTATGCACATGAGTGTGAGCCTGTACATGTAACATGTATTGTTTTGTTAACCAGTGTTGCTTCAATTAAAAAAAAATCAACTAATAATCAGATCTAAAATTTCATTGATCTTCCTTGGATTTCGTCTAGAAACTTTCCCTTCTTTCCTCATTTATTTGAAAGGTATCAGGCATTTCAATTCATGCTGTCCAATGGTGACTGATGGAAAATACAATGTATGCATCTTGGCAGTGAGGCATGCACTCCCATAGTCCCTTGTCTCTTCAGCCCCTCACTCATGTAAAATTGCACTTGATTTTCAAGGTCAAGCTGAGATGGTACCTTTACTCTGAAGACTTGCCTTCCCTGATCCCTATCACCAGAGCTTAAATTTGCTTAGAGCATCCTGTCACATGAGACAGATACTAATATTGACATGTCAGCAGATTCCTAGTGACCAGAATTCTTATGTAACAATGAAAGTTCCCTGTATAATCAGCAATAAAATTTTTTAAGGAAAATAAATCCCAAAGTATCTTATTCAGGTTTCAGTTCAGATAGGATTAAAAATAAGCTAGACATGAGAATGCGCTTCCTTAATTAAATGCAATGCTTTGAGGATGACATCCTAGAAGCAGATTGAAACATGGCTAAAACACTGTTGGATTTATAGAGATGTTTCACAGGTCCAGAAACAGCTAACATGACAGTAATCTGAGTGCTAACCACATGAAGGACATAGGGCCATATGATTTTACTCACATGTGTAATTCACTCCTCACCACCACTGAAGGGCCCAGGTGCTATTTTCCACTTAGTGGATGAACAAACTTAGGCAAAGAGTCCTACCATCTCAAAAAGTGACTAATTCCAATGTCAGGTTTCTCAAGCCAAAGACCTTGGAGTTGCCCTTGATACTTCTCTCCACGTGCTTTATCCCATTTGTCACAGTTCTGCTGCCTTCACTTCAGTCACAGTGATCCCTTGGATAGTCTGGCCCTGACTTCCTCACCTCATCAGCCAGAGAAAGACCACTTAGGGCTCAAAGCCCTCTTGCAATTTTCTCCTTTCTCTGGAAAATTCTTCCCTTGGAGAATCGGGGCTCCCTTTCCATACTCCTCAAGTCTCCTCAGTAGCTCCCTGCCTGACAATCCTCTAAGACAGCAGCCTGCTACTATTCCTCCTGTTCATTCGTGTCTCCATTATATTACTTCACTTTTCTTCTTAGAACTATCACCTTCTGACACCGTGTTTACCCAGTGTTTCTCTTTTAGAATAGCAGCTGGCCATCAGTGGTGAGATAGACCAAACAACTTTTGGCCTGTTTTTATATGGCCCATGAGCTAAGAGGAGATTTTGCATTTTAAATGTGGAAAAAAAATTGAAAGAAAATTAGAACTTAAGTGACATGAAGTCCAAATTTCCATGCCTGTAGATATAGTTTACATATCGTATTTTCTATGACTGCTTTTGTGGTATAAAGGCAGAGTTAAGTAGTGTGACAGCGACTTTATGGCCTGCACAGCTTACGATAGTACTTATCTATCGTCTACTCTAGGTAAGCTCCATGTTGACAGGGGTTTTGTTTCATTTGCTGTGATCTCCCCAGCACAAACAAAACAGCAGTTATAAAATATTTAAAGACTATGTCACTTAATAGCAAATCTGAGATTTGAATAAATACCTCATGGGATCTAAACACCAGGCACGGTGACTATGTCATCCAATGACATAATTTACCTTGAAAATATTGTCATAGTCTAGACATGTTAAAGATTCATGTTTTTATTATTTTTCCCAGGATGGTATACTGGTTATCTAATCTGTAAAATTTCTTACCTAACCAGAAAATTTCAAATCAAACTATGGAAACCGTTGGCCTATTTTCTTACATCTTAAGTGAGTTAGGGTGTTTAAAAATGGGAAAGGGGCCTCCCCAGTGGTGCAGCGGTTGAGCGCTGGGCTGAGAAACTGCCCGCAGCCTCTGCAGCACCAGTTCCATCCCCGGCCGCTGGTGAGGGTCCCACATGGAGCGCAGACCTCTCCTGCCGGCCGCTGCTCCCCTCAGCAGTGTACTTCGTCAGTCTGCCTGTTCTGCTCTCCACTCTGGCTCTGGTGAATTCTCTCACCCTCCCGACTTCTGACTGTACCCAGTGCTTGTATAAATAAATAAATAAATAAATCTTTAAAAAAAATAAAAAAATAAAAATGGGAAAAAAATCTGCAAACTTTCAGATGGATGTATTTTTTTAAATAAATGTGGCACTTTTATAAAATAACCTATCTTTAAAATTAAAGTTAACTATATTAAAAAGTAACAAAGTGATGGTTTGATGGTTTGATCTTGACATACACTGATTTTAATCAGCAAACATCTGGGGGGAAAATGTGCTGCATGTAACAAAGTGTGCATGGGTTAACTTGATAGACCATAAATGAACCTAATGTGATTGTATTTTGTGGAGTCAGAAAAATCCTAAGGACATTTTATACCATGTTGTGAAAACCTTCATGCATGTTTTCTCTGTAACCCAAAAGCAAGAAATGTAAAGAAGAAATTGATTTGAACAGTTGATTTGGGGAAGTCAGTTACGGATAAAGGTACAAGCTGCTAAACTGTACAAACAATGCAGGCAGGGGCATACAGATTCAGTAGACGGAAGGATTATCTTTGGTGGATATTCAATGCTCACTGATTTGATTTTTTTTTAGGTGACACGGTAGCAGAGAGAGAGAGAGAGAGAGGTGTGCTTCAGTTCTGGAGGAGCGACAGGATGAACAGCTCCCTTGTTTGGATTATTCTCCTGGCCAAGATGTGAGAAATGGTCTTGAATTTCAGCAACATCACATTTGCGTATGCGTGCTGTGAGGAGTGACATTCACTTAATTGCCCTCTCTGCTTCATGATTTTATTACATTGAATTATAGCCACAGGCTGCCAAATTGATATCCTATCTGGATTCCCCAGGAACATACCTCTAAAACCCTGGAAGAACAAACTAGACACTTTAAAATGGATTGCCACTCAAGAAGTATTTCATCTTCAGTTTCTTTTTGCCTTTACCAAGGAATATGGACAGATGTTTCACAGGGTCCTCATTCTGTTCCTCTTCTGAAGATTTTCATTAGTCATTGCATTAGAATGGTTTGAGGTGAGTCTAAATAACAAAACATTTTGGCAAAACATAGTTGCAGATGTAGATTAATGAGCTGTCATTAAATGATGAAGACAATTTTATAAACCTTGAAGGCTTATAAAAGGACTTTCTGGGGTTATTGTGTGTGCATTTGTATCTTTGCTTCTGAGGGTTTAAAATTTTAAGTTTACTGTCAGGTTAGCAAACATCAAATGGAAGCATTTTAACTTAAGTGCTCTCTTTCAACAGAGTGTTTATGAAAACGTATCAACTGCAGTATTTTATAACCAAAGCTCAATCATGACATGTTCACAAACAAATAAAATCTTTGGAAGTCTTGTGGATTCTGTGTAATCTTATAGATAAATCATTTAAAATATCAAATGATCAAGGGTGATACCTTTTAACCAGTTTTTGTTAATTCCTAAACAGGAGTCTTTAAATGCACAAATTTTAGACCAAAAATGATTTCTTCTCAGTCTAGCTCTTTCCCTACTTATATTTCAGTCATTTTATTCTTTAAGTGTACTAAATCTGAGTCATTTTATCTCAGTTTAATGATTTTGAGCAGATGTGTCTTTATAATTTCTCAGATGCTGTCATGCAGAAACATTCTAGATAAAAAGCAACTGACCCAGATTTTTAAAATGCTTAATGTTATTAAAACACATAATACTGTAATAATGTGGGATAGATTTTTATATATTAAGAAATGCCAAAAACATACTTTCTGCACTACTATCACTGTCCTTACACAATTACAGGAGAAAATAATACTATAATACTGTTTCTAACAACAAATACATCTGTTTGATTTTATTCTTGCAGAAAAATGGAAATGATACTCATCTGTTTGCAAAGTTTTGTTTGACTTCAATACTTACTAGAATTGTTACTCTCATATAAAATAAAAAAAAATTCACTCTGCTGATGGCATATATGTTTCTGTGATTATTTCATGTCTTAAGAATGTATTAATATCCCAGGCTTTCCATTTTAATTGTACATGTGAAAACAACTTTTAAAGGAATAATATTTAATTTGGGGGGAAGTTCACTATGTAGCAAACTTGGAACATTTATATAGATGGTTATTTTGTTTCTTCTCCCAAATAATTTTACCACAAATAAGAGCAAGTGAAAATGACACTGCTTCACCTTGAGGCACATTTCTAAGGTGTAAACTACTTCCAGGGAATAAATTGTCCATTTCAGAAAATGGCAGGTATCAAAGCTACCATTTCATCCATTATTGCCTCAAAGTATATTTTTTACTTAGTTTAAAAGTTAGCCCTATAATGGGACTTTTTTTGGGAAGCTTTAATAGTACCATTCCTACTCCTTTCCTGTAGGGAAATAGATAGGAAAATTATCTGCATTTTACTGAATTTAAAGCAGAAGATACCGAGGGAATTTTGAGGATACTAGTCATGTCAGCATCAGGCCCTCAAACTGTCCCATATGTACCCTCCATAGCTGAGAAACCCTCAATCTTTTATAGACTGTGGACTCAGTCAGCCTGAACATCTGGACTTTAGACTCAGCCTAGACAGATGCCAAAGGAACCAGCAACCTCCTAAATTCTAGAGTTCTCCCTTAGGTCCAGACTTGCTGCTCTAAACCATTTATACTTTTAACATCTACTCTTGGAAAATTGGAAATGTTCTGTAAACGCACAATGGATTTCCCAAAACCCCCACCCCCACCCCCAAGCTGAATTGTTGGGAAAGTATGTTACCGTATACACTAATCCATTTTTATTCAACTTGGGGGTCTTTATGACTATTCCTGTTTTATAAAGGGCAATTTTGGGCTCCATAAAATTAAACTTGCCCAAATTCACACTAATTACTTTTAGAATTATACAATGAGGAATCATGAAAAAAAAAATAAAGTATTTACTTTTCTTTGAGTACTTTGAGTATCTAGTATTCTGTGTTCTAGGTGTCAGGAGGATGGGCAGTCCTTAGAGTCTGGATAGTATTTGGCCATGCTTTATCAGATTTTGTAGTGGCAAAGACTAGGTGTTGGGCACAGTCTCACATTACCTTGTTGAAAAAGATCACACAGCTAATATTTTTAGGGTAAGATACTTACAGTTGAATTTCTATTTGAGTTTAATAGAGTAGCCATAGTTTTCTATTTATATAAAAGACTGTTGATCTGGGATAATATTGAAAATACCGGCCTAACCAGTAGTTCCACTGGGACTATCAGATGAAGGGTGTGTTGGCCACTCTGTATACTGGCAGGACTCCAGTCCTCCAGGTAACTTTTGAGCAGATCTGCCTGAGGGGAAATGCAGCCCCAACACGTTAGATGCATTTGCAAGGTTTTGTGGAGGTGATGAGGCAGAAACACTGCACCCTTATTCTCGCATATCAACACTATTGGGTGTAAGAGAAGACAGCTTGTTCTTTGAAAATAGTTTGTTCTCTAATCCAATGCTGTGATGCGTTGGCTACCTCCTCTCATTTTAATTTTTGCCCACACTATAGAATTTTTTAGGGGAAAGTTTGTTGTGCACAAGGTTGTGAATTTATAAAAAAAAAAGCCTCACCAAAATGAAATTCTCCAGTATTAGAAAATACTGCTGCTCAAAATACTTTTTAGTGGGCTTTTAGGAACTCACTAATGAAGGATGAATGAAATGCTAGTTCAATGATTAGCAATTAGGATCTCTCTGAAATAGGCAAAGCATTATTGAGTTTTACCTACAGGCTGTGAGTTCTTCTACACTTGGACCCAGAACACTGCAGCCCACAGGTCAAACCCAAATTGCGTTTTGGTAAACAAAGATTTCTTGGCAGACAGTGATATCATTCATTTACTTGTATCACCTATGACTGCTTTTGCACTACAAGAGCACATTAATTGCCACAGACCCATGTGGCTTACAAAACCTAAAATATTTATTGGTTGACCCATTACAGAAAAGTTGGCCAATTTCTATTCTACACCATGGAAGAATGTGATGATTTTTATCAGTTCACTGGAACAGTATATGGTGATAGCAAGGTGCTGGGGTGGTGGGATAACTACAGAGACCACACTGGAGGGAAGAAATCAATACTATCCACAAATTAACAAAGATGTCAGAAGATAAATAAAATATTTTTAAAAAGATAGTGGCAAGAAGTTCAGGTGCTAGAGGCAAACAAGCCAAAGTTTGAATATTAGCTTTGTTAGTTACCTCTCAAAGCTTTACAATCTCAATTTGAGTTATCTATAAAATGGGGATATGCATTCACTTCATACGAGTATTTTTTATAAGAATATTATATCAAGAACTTACTAGCATGGTGCTAAGCAAAAAATAAGCTCTTGATATAGTTGTGTCTTTTTATAAATAATCTATCATTCAGCTCACCTTTTACAAATAGAACCACGGAGCAGGTCCTAATCTTAAAATGGAGGCTTAAGATTTAAGACAATTGGGACCAGGTAAACTGAAAGTGCTTTCTCATTTCCAAAGCAGAACTTTGAGAACACAGAGCAAGACAAATTAGGAAAACAACTCAAGGAATATTGCTTGCCTTTGACTTTGGATTTCAGGTTGACATAATATTGAAAATGCTTGTGTTGTCTTCATGGGCAGGGCAATGTCTTGGGCCTATTCTCCCTCTTAGTAGAAGTCTGATCTCCACTGGAAAGAAAGACATACTGTATAGGTATCCTGACTTGAACTTTGCAAACCTGCATTTGCATCTTCATGACAGCCCCAGCACATACACACAAACACCATTCTTTCAAGTGTATCTCCTAAAAAACTCAAGCCCTGACCAACAGTCATGTGGGAGGGAAACAATCACTTCAAGTTACAAAGTAATCTTGTAAACAGAAACTTTGAACAAAAGAGCCCAGTAAATAATTGATGAACAGTTACTGAAGCATATTGGGTAGTGTTCGTAGTATTGATTTTGGGCTGTGAACAAAGGCAGGCTCTGTGAGCTCATACTTCAGTCCTTTTCTCGCCTATTTGGTGCTATCAATATTCATAGGCTGCTTACATGTTAGGAATGTAAATGACACTTCTTTCATGTCGTTCACTTGGGTCTTTGCTCTTTGTGGATAGGGTCCCTGACCCATCCTTTAATTCTCAGCTTTGATTCACTTAATGAGGAGTTATCAAAATAGTTCAGGACTCTGAATTATTAATTGAGTAGCTGTAATTAATGTTCAAGGAATTGAAGCAAGCAAATGAACTTTGGTTCTCTACTTCCAAATCTGAAATCCTACTCTCGGTAGTTCAGTTTGGGTAGTGATTAGACAAAAGATTAATACAGAATACCCTCCCTGTTTGTTACTGCGTTCATTTTCCTGTGGTTTACAGAAAGCTATGCTGATTTTTCCTTTCTCTCCTGACATCTTGAATGCAGAAAATAGTCAGGAGGTGAGTGGAATCAGTTTACACTCAAGAATCTAATCAGGATCTATTCAACAAGAAAATATTTGTAAAAACTGATAGATTTGACTACCTAAAAAGCAAAACCTTGTACATGCCAAAACCACATAAACTAAAGGTCAAAGTGGGAAGAATATCCACAGGTTATGTGGCATAGAAAATACTACTACCCACATATTTACAGTTTTACAAGTTAGTAGGCAAAAGATATATACCTCAATACAAAAGTGAAAAAGGTATAATTTATAAATGATATATATGGGCTTGTGGTTTGTAGTTTTTTATGACAGTCGAGACTGAATAGTCTTATATTTAAGTTTGATCAATATAAAGAGTATCTTGCAAGTGTCGTAGGACTATAGTGCGACATTATACATACTGCATATTAAGAGCCTTAGAAGGCTCTTAAGATTCGACTCAAGATTTCTATTTATAGGAAATTAAAAAGTTCAGAGGTCAACACGAGCAAAATATGAATCACAGACTTATTCCTCAAAGTAAAATAGCAGAAATCCTAAATAACTTTCAAAAAGGTACAGCCACTCTGATTCTGCACAAGGCACATTCCATTTTACTTCTGCTAATTGCAACAAAAATACTTGGACAAAATACATAATTCACCTAGCAGAGGACTCAGATAGAGAAAAGGCAGACAGGCTATAGGACTCAAGGAAAAACTTGGCAGTGAGGTCCTGGACTTCTTTTCTTGTGTTCTATGTAAATCAGCTTGGGCAAAAAGGGAAACTGTAATCAATTTGAAAAATAAAAAAGGCCAATGGTGCAGACAAAAAGTATTCCCCCCAACCCCCAAATCTTAGTTTCTTTCATGCAAAGAACTGGGAAAAGGGCAACCCAACTTCACAGAAACCTTTAACCATATCTGCTTTTTCTTGATCGAACAATATGAAAACCATGTGCCCCAGCCCCTAGCCCAGTGGGTGCTGCAGGGTGGGGTGGTGTATGGATGGAATCCTGTCCTCCCATCTCTCAGCCTGGAGTTG